TATTTATTTATTTGACAGAGAGAGACACAGCAAGAGAGGAAACACAAGCAGGGGGAGTGGGAGAGGGAGAAGCAGGCTTCCCGCAGAGCAGGGAGCCCAATGCGGGGCTCGATCCCAGGACCCTGGGTTCATGACCTGAGCCGAAGGCAGACGCTTAACGACTGAGCCACCCAGGCGCCCCGAGACAGTTGTTTATATTTCGAGTGTTCAGTGTGCTGGTTTGATCTATGTAGTCTTTGAAATGATTACCATAATTTTCTCCTTTAAAGCCTGCTCCAGGGGCGCCTGGGTGGCTTAGTCTTTAGGCGTCTGCCTTCGGCTCGGGTCATGATCCCGGCATCCTGGGATCGAGCCCCGCATCGGGCTCCTGCTTCTCCTTCTCTCACTCCCCCTGCTTGTGTTCCCTGTTTCACTGTCTCTGTCAAATAAATGAATAAAAATCTTAAAAAAAATAAATAAATAAAGCCTGCTCCATTTTACCTCTTCCATGAAGTAAGCCCATGGCTCCTGATGGGACTATAACTCTTTCCTTTCTCTGATTTCTCATAGTACTTTGTTTCTGTCTGGGCTTAAGTATGCATCCAGCACAGGCACCATCCAATCAGAACAGATACCTTCTTTACTTGGGCATATTGTGTGTATGGGGAAATTATCAGCTCAGTCTTTTGGGATATATCCCACTGTGCTTTATAATCTATTCAGTTATTATGTTTATCTTTGTCTTCTTCATTCCCCTCCTTCTAGATTTTATGCATTGGGGCACAGGGAGTTAGTACTTTTTGTATTTTGTAGAGAGTACTTGTGAAAGACTTAGAAATGGTCCAAGATATTGTGGTTGTCTTCAATGGAAAAGTAGGCACTGTCCAGATTATCTGATTCTATCGGGTCTCTGAATCTTTTATTGTCTTTGAGTTATTTTACATTGCTCTAAGTTATATAATACTTATAGTAATGCAAATGGTTTTTGTCCATAGAAATGCAAATTGTATCTCATTGGGATTCAGTTGATTATTGCTCTGTGGATATTGAGCAGTTTTGAAGTTTTACATTTGTTAGACAAATTTATTTTGCCATTCCTAATGCCGTATATGTGTGGTTCTTTTAATTCTCCTTTGAACCAATTGTAATATCTTCTGGTTCCTTCATTAATTAATTAATTAAATAAAGGCTTTGACACATGATCATTTTATATCTGTATGAAAGTCATGCTATATCCTCTTCTAAAAATTATCTTTTAATACATGAATATGCCTTGAACTTAATAAATATTAATGTTTCTTAAATCCAAATTAAAGGTCATTTAATGAAGAACACTGGAGAAAATTGAGACACTTTTCTTCTGAGAATTTTTGAGACCGTGGGATAGATAAATATTTTCCAAACTGAATTTTGGCTGTCTGAACAAGTGAATAATTTCCTACGATAGATTTAAAACTTGGCTTTTATCACAGTGAATTTGAATATTGGCCTTTGGATTTTTTGATCAAGTTGAGTGTACCTAAAACAAAACCCAAACATCCGGTTTGTCTTTACTCAAGTATTTGAAAACTGATACAAAAAGGAATAATAAATTCTAAAGTATTTCTCAGTTACCTTATTATATGTTTTTAGTTGCATTTTTTTTAATCTGAAAGATTTCACCCTGAAAAAATTATTCAGAAATCTCAGTAATCATTTGGAAGTTGTATAAGGTAAAAGTTTCATACATGATGTAAT